GGAGGGGGGGGGGCGAGCAGGGATGCCTCAGCCTTTCTGTCCTTCTCCTTGCAAGAGAAGAGCTTGCCGCTGATCCCATCCCCCTCAGAGCTCGCTCAGGGCCTGGGGCCGTCGTGATTTGGGGCTCTCCATCCCCAGTCTGCTGGAGATGGAGGCAGGAGGGAGGCAGCCAGCTTGCTCCCATTCCCATGCCCAGACCTGAGGGTTTCCTGTCAGCAGCCAGGTCGTGAGCCACAGTGGCTCAGCCAGCACAGCCAGACGCCAGCTGATGAGCAAACAGGCTGTTATGATTCTGCTGGGGCCAGGTCCCCCATAGAGCCCATCAGGCTGTCCCCTTTCCTGCTCTGCTCCCCTCCAAGGGATGATGGGGAGGACAGGAGCAACTGTACTCTGGCACACCCCAGGCAGACAAGGCAATTACCTCCCCTCTCTGAAAGCACTCTGTTTCCATTTGCAATAGTAATTAAAAGTGTGGAAAAGGAGCATCTGGGCCCCCCAGCTCTGTGTGCCAAGATGCACCCGAGCATACGGACGTGAGCACGTGTGGAGAGCAGGGGAGGGCCTCAAAATCAGGAGAAAGAAGCCCAGCCAGGCAGCTGCACACAAGGAAAGGGCGAGTGATGCCTTGCGGGGGGGGTAGGAGGAGGTGAGGGAAGATGTCCCTGTGTGAACACCACACTGGTGCGCGCTTGTCCCCACTGAAATGGCAGGGGGCAAAGAGCAAGCCCATGGGGGACCTTTGTGCACCCCACTGCTCCCCCCTCCCCCCCCAACCCTTCTGCCACGTCACCAAAATTAAGAATCAAATGACTTAATAGGTTTCTCGGCACATCAGTAAATCTTGTTATGCCTTACAGCCGGGGCTGGGAGCGCCTGGATTAGATCAGTGATCTTCCACCAGCTCCCTCCTCGCACTCCCAGCTCCAGAGCCTCCAGCAGTAATCCCTACTGCTGGCAAACCTGCCGGGAGATGCCCTGGGATGCAGCCTTCCCAAGGGGGGCCCACAGCATTTTGTGTCATCCCTCTCCTGAGACTAAGCCACTCCGGGCTTTGACAGGGTTTCCTCTCTTTCATTCCCTCCCGCTGGGTTTTGCAGAGCCTCTGGCACTGCCTGTCCAGATCACCTTCTGGGGTGATCACTGCCTCCCTTTAGCAGAGTGGCTGGGGCTGGAGGTGCCCCCCATGCCATGGGTTACCCCAGGAAGGTTCCCAGGGCTGACAGATGGAGCTGCATGAGATGGGGAGATGCAAACACCCTGGGGTGTCTGCTTGTACACAGAGGGGACACAGGCAAGTTGAGGAGGGGAGCACAGGCAGCACTGACCTCACAGCCAAGGTATGACCCCAGGGCTTGCTGGCCAGGCTGTGGCTGTCACCGGGCTGGCCCAGGTGGCACGTTATGGCAGGCTGGAGCCAGGGCAGCCAAAGTCCAGCCCACCTACAACATGCTGCCCTAGTCCTGAGTTGTCAGGGCTCGCTGAGCCATGGGGTACTGTGTCTCCCCTGAAGAGTACCCTTGGGGCCCTGGGGTCCCTAGCAGCATGAAAGAGAACATTTTTGGTGATGCAACGCTTGTCTTCCTCCTCACTATGTATGTGTGTGAGCCTTGAACCAGCATCACTTCAAGCTCTCCAGGTGCACACATGAGCCTGCTCAAGCCCTGGTGAGCTTCACCCTTCTCCACCTCAAACCTCCTGCAATTGCCAGAAAGCCCAGGAGAGGGGCCAGGGCAGCTCATGGGTGATGCAGCCCCTTGGGGAAGGGGGAGAGTATGACTGGAGAGCAGCTAAAGGCCCAATACTCCCAAGGTTCAAACTGATGTACTGGGCACTGTCCCTCCATCACCAGCTGGTCCTCATGCACACAGAGGTATGTGTGTTCAGGGGCTTATTTTTTTCCCCCTTTATTTCTGGGTGAGTGCATCCACTGTCTGCACATGCATTTCTTAGCCCAGTTATGTGATTCTGCTTGTGGGAACCTGTTTGTCTGGGGTCGCAGTGGGCTTTTGGAGTGGCTCCATCCCTCACTTTGGCTGCACAGGGCTCTGGGCATCATGCTCAGCTGGGCTGCACGTCCCCCCCTCCCCACATGTGCCTGGTGTGCCTCTGTACATTTGTGTGTGTGTGTGTGTGTGTGTGCGCATTACCCTGGCAGATGACAGGTGCTTCTGCCAGTCTCCATCTCTTTCCCTTCACTTGTGTATGTCTTTACTTGCCTTTCCCTGTCTTTCTATACCTGTTCATATTTCCATCCATTACAAACTGTCTCATTTCTCAGCCTGTGACATTAGTGGCTCTGAATTTTCCACCCGTGGCCTGATGCTACTGCACCCACGTGGCTGTAGTGAGGGGGGCAGAAGGGGAAAGCTGGGCAGAGGTTGGGTGTTACCTGACCCCCCTCCCAGCTCCACACTCTGGGAAGGAATGGAGGGGCAAACAGGAAACTAGATGGGTAGATAAGGAGCTCGAGGACTTTCAGGAGGCTCCTTGCGGGTGGCTCTGGCTCCCAGCAGACCACAGGGGACAACAGAACCCCCAGAAAAGATGGGACATCTGGAGCAAACTTCCTAGGGAAACCAGACAACTCCCCTCTGGCAGCTTTTGCGTGACCAAACTATCGCCCTGGCTCTATTCGGCAAAGTCTGCCAAGGTCCGTGCAACTGCTAAGCCCACATCAGCCCAAATAAATCGACACACAGGTGCACTCTATAATGGGCCTCATCCCAGACATCACCGTACAGCCTTGGTGCCGCTGGCTTGCGGTTGGGCCGGGGCTGAGCCTGCTGGGCACACACTGCATGGCTGCTATGGCGTGGAGACCAGGGGTCTGCATCCCTAGTGCCAACAGCCCGATGCTGTGGCGGTGGGCATGGTGAGCAGCTCCAGGTGGCGCATTCTCTCTACAGCTCCTACAAACCGTGTGGGGAAGGAACACCGGGCTCACAGTGGGTGGCACCGCGCTTTACTATGTGAGAAGTCCCACTCATAACTGCGATGGCATCAGGTGGGATTTACCTGTCTGCTAAAGGGCAGGATCTGATCCAGAGCTGATGACCTGCTCCAGTGGAGGCCTTGGGGGGTGCTACAGGGCGAGCAAGGTGCCCTATCTCTGTGCAGACCAGGGGAAAGCAGGGCAGCCCTGGCCCCTTGGGACCACCTGGCACAGAGGGATGAGAGGGCGGCTGAGGGTGAGCCCCTTGACCCTGGGCAGAGACCTCGGAGCGAGCAAGGCCAAGGACAACCTTCCTGAAGCCTCGCAAGGGGGACGAGCTGGTTTTGGGGGTGTGTGGCTGCAGGCCTGGGGAAGGGCATGTGTGGGACCATCCCCCCGGGACCATCCTCCCCTCCCCGACCCCCAGGAGCATCCCTCGCACCTCTATCCGGTCGATGCGGTCCTGGAGGGCGCGGACGGCCTCCTCCAGCTCCCGCACAGCGGGCGGCTCGGCGGGGGGGTGGCCCATG